GGCTAAGCGGTGTGACAACTTCCATAGTTGACATTGGTGAATATCCATCGCGACTGTTTTACGGAACCAAAACAAACGACAAACGCACTCAACAATTTGTTACCAGTTATACAGTAAGGTGCACACGAAATGGGCTTTGAACAGTAGAAAGGCATCATGGCACACTCACAAACTAGCATGTAAAACAACTTGTCTCACCACTAAGGACAATGACAGAGGTTTGGATACACGTCTTCTGCAAAGGATGTTTGTGAGTGTGCCATGATGCCTTTCTACTGTTCTACTGTTCAAAGCCCATTTCATGTGCACCTTACTGTATAACTGGTAACAAATTGTTGAGTGCGTTTGTCGTTTGTTTTGCTTTACCGATTTGGTGCAGCGACGCATGGGGTTTCTCAGCTGCCAATGGGATGTGCGGGATCCCTTGTGTGTTTCTGTACCTTTAAGGAGGTTGGGCGTCCTCCTGACAGGCCTGCACCCAATTTGATATCTTCTGCCCCATGTGCTCCAAGATGGAGACTCTCATAGTTTAGAGTTAGGACCGCACTATAAGAGGTGCCTTGGCGCGGCAGTGCGGCTTACACATCTTTTGCAGAAGACGTGTATCCAAACCTCTGTCATTGTCCTTAGTGGTGAGACAAGTTGTTTTACATGCTGGTTTGTGAGTGTGCCATGATGCCTTTCTACTGTTCTACTGTTTTACGGAACCAACTCCGGTTTGAAAGCACCAACTCAGAGTTTATCTGGTGACCGTCTGGAATGGGCCGGCTGCGACTACACTGACGTAGCTGCACCTACCACCGGTCCCCTATATCAGGGGTAGCCAAACGCTGGTGGTCCAGCTGTGGTTAAACTACAAATCCCATGATGCATCTCTTTCCAGGAGTCATGTCTGTGGCTGTGAGAATGCAATGCATCATGGGATTCGTAGTTTCACCACAGCTGGAGGACCAGCGTTTGGCTACCCCTGCCCTAGATGAAAGTGTTGTGTACTAAAACCCAACTGAACCCTCATTATTCATTACTGTAATTCAGTAAGGCTGCATAAACAATGATAAATATGGGGCTGGCCACACCAACAAGAGTCAGACCGCTGCAGCAGGCTCCCCAGCGGCCCAGCACCCGCCAATCGCAACCACCTGATCGCTGTTCTAGTCAACAGCGCTCTTGTTCACTGAGCTGTTGATTGGAGCAGTGTTCAGGGGGGTTTGATTTCTGGATAGTCAGACAACTGTGCAGCTCCGGGCTCTCCAGCAATTCTACACCACCCACCAAAACCCCATGATCGCTGCTCCAATCAAAAGCACTCTTATTCCCTGAGCCATTGATTGGAGCAGTGTCCAGGGGTGTGTGTCTGACTTCTGGAGAGCCAGACCACTGCGTTGTGTGCGAGAAGTGTTGCACACGGTATTGTAACCCTTTCTGCAGCAGCAGCAGCTAAAAACATAAAATAAAAAAGGAAAAGAGCGGCATATCTACTATTGTAATGCGGCCTGACTGCACTACAGCAAATGATCAAGAGGTTTAATCAGCCGTTAAATGAGCATGCAGCATTTTGAGGATGCTTAAAGAGGACCTTGCAGTAATAGGCAAGATCCTTTTAATGGATCCGGGAATCCTCCCCCATAATAAATATCAGCATGAAAGTAGAAAAAAATATATTACATACATCGTTTACCGAACACCCCCCCCCCACCCCCACTCCCGGCTACCAACCACGGGACCTAAGGAAGAATGATGTTGGGGTCCTTCAGGCAAGATCCTGGGGAATGCAGAGTATCCCAAGTCCCTTGAGAAGACACTCATGCACTGTGGTGTGGCATCATTCTAATTTGAGGTATGCCTCATCACCCGGGTTCTGACAGGAAGGATCATGAGGTTCCCACTCTGCGGTAAGGAAGTTGACGGTTAAGGGAAGTATACATGTACTTACTTTATTTTCCCTACATATTCTTTTTAAACTTAAAGGATAACTATGAGGGGGGTGCTTTTCACTCACCTCATAGTTCTAGCCAACCTGTGACAATGAGACTGTCACAGGTCGGCTCAGTAGATCAGGAGGTGAGCTCTCTGCCGTGACAGGGGAAGGACTGGATCCCCCCTCCCCGCTCCGATCCTCCAGCGCTGACTGGCGGAACGGAGGGGGGAGGGGTCGGATACAGCTGGCTCTGCCTCTAGATAGGTAGAGCCAGCTGTCACTCCGCAGCTAGGCGGATCCAGACATAATTGTCGGGATCCGTTTCAGCGTCTCAGTATATAAAAAGAGATGTAGCTCGCGGTATACTGAGCTTTGGGTGACGTGAGGACGCTAGTTTGTGTCCTCCCGTTACCCTTAGGAGAACTATGGGGAAAAGCCCTGACCCCATAGTTCTCCTTTAAATGGTGCTTTCATGGGGGGAGGGGTGGGATTGGGGCAGGTCCCTGATATATTAGATCAGGGGTAGGCAAACTCCAGCTCTGCAGCTGCTGTGGAACTACAAATCCCACAAGGAACTGCAAGACCTCCCGCCCCCATAAGATAAACCATTAATTTTCAGTGCATGGTCCCCTTCAAGCAATATATATGTTTCCTTTAGTTTTGGATAAACTGCATAAAAGATAAAATATATCAGGTTTTTTCCCTGTCTGTAACCTCCCCCGGGGAGAATTTCTGTCACTTCCTGTGCCCTTCACAGCGGGACAAAAGTTGCCCACTATCGTAAAAGCGTGTTTTTGTCTGTCCCTTATGGAGAGATTAAAGAGTAATTCCACTTTTGCTGAGAAAAAAAACCCACAATCCTCTCTGGGTGATCGGTGTACATTACAAGGATTTTAACAAACATTGTTGCAGTTTCCTTTGTTACCTGGTTCTGTTCTGAAGAAAAAGCAGTTTGTTGCAGCGTGTCCTTTCCAGACTGATCCCTGATTGGGAGGGTCGGGTTCATTATAACCAGCTGCAGGACTTCCTGTGGTGTAATGAGGAGAGGAGCAGTGTCGGCATCCCTTTAGTAGTATTGAACCCTTAGGGAATATCTCACCAAAAATGAAAATTCCTTTTGCAGGGGATGCCAAAATCAGTCAACCAATCACAGCAGGAAGTGGCCTTTCTGGGGGTGTTGCATACATCCACTGTGAACAGAACACCTCCAGGTCACCATATTGCACTGAATTTTTTTTAGACAGATTAAGAACATTACAGCAGCTACAGATTTAAATGGAAATGTCATTTGTAATAAAAGTAAAATACAAAGTGGCCTTTGCAACAATGATATATTCTGCATTCTTTTTTATATTTTTTTTTTCATTTTTATATTTTTAAACTGGAATTACCCTTTAACCATAACTTCCTGTCCTGACAAGATCTTCCCGTAGAGACTGGCACAGTGACAGTAAGATCTCTCCCTGAAGGAAAAAGGATGATACAAATATTTATTTAATAAACATAAAAAAATATCAAAATTAAAATTATGATACAAAGAAACGCGAAGCCTCAGCTGCAGATAATATACATAAAGTGAACTTCACATGTTCTATACAAAAAAGAAAATCTAATTTGGACGGCAGAACCAGCTGCACGGCGACTCTTCTCCATCGCGGGTAAAATGAATAAATCGAGAATGACACAGAAATTTGGAGTATACAGCCAGTCTATTTGATGTGTATCTGTCAGATTTATCACACAGAGGCAGCCATGATGTGAATGAAAAGCCAAACAACTTCTCTTCTTTCCATTTTCAAATAATGCAAATGAGTAAAGGGTACATTTTTCTACAAGCTGGAGCTCTCCTTTAAGAGAAGTGATAAGACACCATTTTTAAAAGTTGGAACTCTTGATTTAACAGCCCCGAGATCAACGTTCTAAGTACGAGAATATTGACTACCAGAGTCCAATGGCTGATTTCAGAAAACCGAATTCAGATTTTTTTTTTTGCGATGGGTTGCTAAACTTAAGGGTCTATTTATAAATCTTTTGCCCAGCCATTCACACAGCATTACAGCTACTAGATGGAGTGAAGATACATAGGAATTTTGTAGGCTCCTCGGCTCCATCTAGTGGCAGGGATTCTGTATGAACGGCATTCTCCCAGCGTATGGCTGGGTGAAAGATTTATAACCAGGTCCCTTTAAGCAGGGTTTGGGCAACTCCAGCCCTCTAGCTGTTGTGGAACTGCAAGTGCCATGAGGCATTGCAAGACTTACAGTTACAGACATGACTCCCAAAGGCAGAGACATGTAGGGATTTGTAGTTAAAAAGGAGAACTATGAGGTGAGTGATTGCCACTCATCCTCATAGTTAGAGCCGACCTATGACAAAGAAGGTGTCACAGGTCGGCTCAGTAGATCGGGAAGTGAGCGAACCCATACCGTCGCTCGCTCACTTTCCGATCATCTCCTTGCAGACAGTTGATTGGAGCAGGGATTCCCCCTCCTCCCCTCTCTGATCCTCCAGCACTGACTGGAGGAATGGACGGGGGAGAGGGCGGGCACAGCTGGCTCTGCCTCTAGATTGACAGCGGGCTCTGTCTATCAGCCAGCTAGGGGGATCCAGACAGTATTGTCGGGATCCGTCACGGCTGCGGAGCTCTCAATATATCCCGGGCAATAGCCTGCTATATACTGAGCTTTGGGTCACGGGAGGAGGTTAGTATATGTCCTCCCACGACCCTAAAGAGAACTAAGGGATAACAAAATTACCTCATAGCTCTCTTTAAAAGCACAGCTGGAGGGTCGGAGTTGCCTTAAACTATCTGTGCTCCTGGACACCGCCGTATTAAATAAAAACGTTACCATTGCTTCGTGATCCATAAAGAGGTAGTTCCCTATACAAAGGGTTGGTGACCTGGATTGGTTATTGCAACCCCAGTCAAGGCAAACATTGAAACTAGAAGAACTGAGCGGTTGTTGGCTAATGTGCATGGATATGTTCAGCGAAGAAACAAAGTTGCCATTTTTGTTTAAAAAAGAAAAGAAAAAAAAGCATAAAAGACTTAGCTCGCGATTTTGTTTTTCAAAGATTGTCCATGCAGTTATGATGCCGAGCTCACCGACCAAACAAACATGGAATCCAAGCATGCAGAAACCAGCGGCAAATTCACTACAAAGCTCATAACCATACCCACTATTCACCAGCGTAATTCCATATGGCACAGATCGCTTTATCACATCGGTATTCCATAATGGCCAAGAAAAAAAAAAAGGGACTATGAACATGAATCTAATTTTAGGAAGCCACCTCAGACAGCAGAAGTCTCCACCCCTTGTGTGGAACCTTTTACAGACAGGCTCCCGGAAATATTGTCTGAATCCAGCAGTTCTACAGTGCTGTACGGGGAACAGTCTTCAAGGCCGAGTTTGCTACAAAGCCAGCCACAGAAGCCCTTCTCCATGTCGCGCACGGAACGCCACCAGTCCCCAAATGACCAGGATAGCTGGGTCACCGACGTGTAGATGGCCAGAGACGAGGATAGCACCATGATGATGATGGGGTAAAAAATCATTAAGAAGGGGCAAATGATGATCTTGTGCCAGAAAGTCCTTTCTTCATTGTACACCAGGAAGATGCTGTACCACGTTATGGTCCCGTAATAAAAGGAAAGGACAAAGGAGAGAATAAATACAATGGGCAAGCAGAGGGTACTCCAGAGGAGGATGTGCGGACCTCTGTCCAGTCCAACCGAGCAGGTCTTTTTCCCCTCCGCTGGCTCATCTTGTAACGGCTCCCTGGATCTTGCAAGTTCCTGCATTTCCTTCTCTGTTAAAGTTACATGGATGTCCACCATTTGACCCTTCTTCTTCCCGCGAGTGATGGTGCCCGTCAAGGTCACATAGCGGCTATCAGGAGGCAAACTCCATCCACCTATTGGAGAAAAGAACATGGTCAGGAAGTTACTTTCTTCGTGCGCTAGTAAAATGTCAGAGTTAGCATGGATCTAGACATTTAAAAGGAGAACTATGGGGTTAAGTCTTTTCCCCATAGTTCTCCTTAGGGTAACGGGAGGACACAAACTAGCGTCCTCCCGTCACCCTAGGCTCAGTATACCGCGAGGGGCGTGTCTGAGCGGACGTCTAAAGACGCCCGCTCAGATCTAGAGAGCTCCGGGCCGGCCGTTTTTTTTACTACGGCCGGCCCGGAAGTGGTTAAAAAGAGATGCTGTACTGGTCTCACTAGAACAACTTCATAACTATGAAGAAAATAGGTCACCAGCACTCCATAAGTTAAAATGAATGAGTCCTTTTAATGGACAATGATGTCACAGAAATATTTTCTTCAATCTTGTGTTTTGCACGGTGCCATCCGTGAAGTTACTTCGAGCACCATTTATTTGATTGTTGGCCGGGACTGCTGAAAGGTGTGCGGAGGGCACCTCCATCAATTGCAACTTCATAACTAGACATGTAAGCTGCGGAAAAATTCGGTTCAGTTCGGATATTTTCGTTATTTTGGAATTCCGATCCGAAATTGTGGTTTCGGATTCGGACAAAATCCAAATTTCGTTAGTTTTGGATGAGTTTACGAATATTCGTTGCGAGTAAAACAGAAAACCATATACAGATATTAATACTAAAGCTGAGGCTCCCAGACCCGAATGGCATGCTGGAACCGAATTTCCCAATTGCATTTGGGAGCTCCTGAATGCAATTCGGGTCTGGGAGCCATATACAGTATATACATACAATGCTAAAGCTGAGGCTTCCAGACCCAAATGTCATTCAGGAGCTCCCAAATGCAATTCAGAAATTCGGATCCTGAGTGCCATTCAGTTCTAGGAGCCTCAGCTTTAGTATTATATGTATATACTGTATATGGCTCCCATGTTGCCATAACGAAAATTCGTGTTCATACCCCTGCGGATACATTAAAGCAAAAAACACATCTGATTGGCCCAGAAAAGTCACATGTCCGATTCAGTTTAGTTTTTGAACGAAATTCGGACGAGATCCGAAATTCGGATTCGGACAAATGCATTGGGATTTGGAAATTCGGATGTGCCCAAATTTCAGAAAATTCGTCTGGATTTTCATTCGGAACAAAACGAACCGCACATGTCTATTCTTAATGTCTGCTAGTAGTGGCCGATATCTTCTCTAGATGAAGCCCAATTTGTGGGCATTCCTTTTATGGAGCTCAAGCAGAGCTCACTTAAAAGTTCTGCACTTGTCAAAATGGGACAAAGTGCTACATGCACTATGTCCCCTATGGGGCAGAAAAAATAAATTTGTGGATAGCGAGGGCTCTGCTTCAACCTTTAAATTTGTACTTTGTGAGGATGTGTAACATTTAATCCATTTTTTGAGACATTAAAGTAACCCTGTCAGGAATTTTGAGAATGGTACTGATAATTTAGATCTAGAAGTACAACGGCACCAGGACTTAAACTGAATCTCCATCTCATACATTTCTCTTTCTATATAAACATGGGAATAAAAGCTACAGACCGTCACTCATCGGTGTCCCCAGAAACCTGGAGCCTTCCTCCACACTCCTCTCTCCTCCTTCCTGATTTGCCAGCTCATCCTCCACCACCTTCTCGTTGTCAGACCGATAGACGATGATGGACTCCGGCCGAGGCTCCTTTTTCTTCTTCTTCTTCCGTTCTATAGTGGCCTCCCCCGCCACAGCAACAGCAGCTCTCCGCAGGGTGTCCCTTAGAGGACTGTGAGGGGCACTCTTATTTATTTTTGGGGCGACCTCTTCAATCCCACCATCGCTGGTAATCACCTCGCCCTGCATATTGTAGAGCTTACCAAGACCCACAAGTATTCATTACTCCATAATGGGGAAGGGAAGTCATCTATAATGAGGAAACAAAGAAAACAAAATAGCAAGAGAAGGCAAAGTAACTCCATCGCTGGGCAATGCGCTCATTTCTAGGTCATTGACATACATTCATTACTATTGATGATGTTATTTTGTACTTTAAAGGGCCTGTGTTGATGGGCTGTTGTTCACATTCAGGTTTTGCATCCCTATACAAGCCTATGAAATGAAAAGGTGCTTGAAGCAGGGTGAGGTCAAATGCACCTGTGAAATTCTGATTCATCTCAGCGATGCCATCAACACAAGCCAAAAGCTATTCAACACAGGCCCCAAAATAGTTTCAAACACCTATGGGCCTATTTATAAAAACATTTGCAGAGATAGTCACCATGTTAATCTCTGAACATTGCGTTACATGTAAATAAAGGCAAAAACCAAAAGGTTCTTCATATATATTTTCATGTAATGTAATACTCCATTATGGCCAATAGAAGGAGCTGAGGAGCACAAGAATATTTCCTATATGCCTCAGCGCCATCTAGTGGCCATATTTCGGTACTAAATTAATTTCAATACAATAAAATATATTAAAAAGGAGAAGTATGAGGTGAGTGCTTTTCACTCACCTCATAGTTCTAGCCGACCTGTGACAAGGAGACTGTCACAGGTCGGCTCAGTAGATCGGGAGGTGAGCGAACACATACTGGTGTTCGCTCACCTCTCCATCCTGTCACGGCTCTCTGCCGTGACAGGGGAGGGGCTGGATTCCCGCCTCCCCACTCCGATCCACCAGCGCTGACTGGCGGAACGGACGGGGAGGGGGCGGGTACAGCTGGCTCTGCCTCTATATAGGCAGAGCCAGCTGTCAGTCACGCAGCTGGGCGGATCCCGGCACAATTGTCGGGATCCTCTTCAGCTGCGGCGTCTCAGTATACCGCGGGCTACAGCTCATGGTATACTGAGCCTAGGGTGACGGGAGGACGCTAGTTTGTGTCCTCCCGTTACCCTAAGGAGAACTATGGGGAAAAGCCTTAACCCCATAGTTCTCCTTTAAAGAGTGTTCATTTTTGCCTCTATTCACATAGAACGAACGTTCACAGAGATTCGCAAGGTGAATGGTTTATATATGGACCTGGGCAGCAGCAGAGTTTAATTCAGCTTTAAAAATCAGTTAGGGTTTGCATCTACTTTATTGAGGAATAAGGGACAGAAGAAGAGGGACAGTGTGTTCAAATGAACCTGTTCCACCGATCTATCATCTGCTGGTCTCTGCAGGTGCCCCTTGACAATCCCTTCTCCAAAAACATATTGAGCATCGCCTTCCATCTGCACTCTCTCAGTCCGCTTTTATTGATGGCGGACAATTCCCAATACCTCTCATACTGACGGGAAGAGGAGACGCATTGCTGTAATAAGACCACATAACGATTCTCCATCTCACCTCACGCTGCTCATCCAGTTCCTGGCATCATCTTTGTGAACAAATTAAGTTTCCTCTGACCAGAATGAATGACAGATCTGCTCATAAAGCGCGCTCCACTGCACACATCCATAGGGGGGGAGATGGTACAGGTGAAAGGTGCCAATCTCTCCATCCCAGACATACGATATGTCAATCATTCTGACTTTTATACTAAATAGAGCAAATGTGACCCTGAATATGGGTTTAACATGAAACATGGTCAGAAAGGTGGATTTGGCATTTAAACAATCAGCCAAGGGGTCCACGTCCCCGCCGCAAAGCCAAAAAGCAAATTCCATGCTGATGAGCCAAATAAATAAGTCCTGGGCAGCTGCGGTCTGATACGAAGATTAGAAAATCCTTTTCCTCTTATCGGGGTCCCCAGATTTCCAGCGTAGTACATAGGCTGCTATGGCTGGGAGGCCAACACCTGTTCTCTATACACCTAGATACCTGCACACACCGGCTGCCATTAGCTCAGCTCTAACCTCATATGAACCCGGAGCAATCACAATGCTTTATGGGGACCAGACAGCACCGCCGTGCTAGGAATACGAAGAGGAGAGCCGGGGGATTAGATCAGCCACAGGAAATGAAACTTACTTTTGGAACAAAAAGATACACAGCAGGGATTTCACCCAGGCAAGGCAATGGAGTCTGATAATGCTTTTTATTTGAATACATTATCAGCTACTATTACCATTCCCAATTCATATACATTCATTTCATAGGGAGACTTAAAAAGGAGAACTATAAGGCGAGTGATTTTCACTCAGCCTCATAATCTGAGCTGACCTGTGACAATGAGACTGTCACAGGTCGGCTCAGTAGATCGGGAAGTGAGGGAACACATACCGGCGTTCGCTCACCTCTCCATCTATCCGTGCAGAGAGCCGTGACTGTCACTCACAGCTCCCTGCAGGGATTCCCCCCTCCTCCGTCCGATCGTCCAGCGCTGACTGGCGGAACAGACGGGGGAGGGGGCGGGCACAGCTGGCTCTGCCTCTAGATAGGCAGAGCCAGCTGTCACTCACACAGCTGGGTGGACCCAGACAGAATTGTCGGGATCTGTTCCGGCTGCAGCGTCTCGGTAAACCACGAGCTGCAGCTCGCGGTATACTGAGCTTTGGGTGACGGGAGGACGCTAATTTGTGTCCTCCTGTGACCCTGAGGAGAACTATGGGGAAAAGCCCTGACCCCATAGTTCTCCTTTAAAGGGCTACTTGAAACGAATTACATGTTTGTATAAATAGTATTTAAAGCCGAATTGAAGCCTCACAGTGTCTCTGTATAGTACTATGGTAATTTGGGAGGGGGCATGTCTGACCAGGTCTATTACTGAGTGCTGATTATTGAGTGCACTGGTTCCAACACTGCTGCCTATTGGACTTGTATGTGCACAGCAGACACAAGTGTTGTAACAGGAAAGTGAGAGTAAGAGCATAAAAAATGGAAAGGATTGGTACAATGTCTATTTCTGTGAGATCTTTTGGGCTTTAAGTCGATGATATTAGACACCGGTTCACGTACGTTGATTAAAGCAGAACTCCAGGCAAACTGATATATATACACACTGTATATTATTATTATTATTATACAGGATTTATATAGCGCCAGCAGTTAGCACAGCGCTTTACAATAAAAGCAAGACATTACAACCACAATACAATTCAAGACAAGATGGTAAAGAGGGCCCTGCCCCTGAGGGCTTACAATCTAAAAGATTATATATAAATAAATATCTGTAAGGGGCTCCGTGGACGTTCAGCGGCGAGAGTGCGTTCCACAGTAGAACGCACCAGGAAGAGGATCAGCGCAGTCACGCCCCCTCACTAAGACGCCGGCCGATGCGTTCCACCCTGGAACGCGGAAGCGGCGAGATGGCTCTGCTTTTTTTCCCCGCGCCTGCGGGCTATTTAAACTCACTTACAAGGTTAGCAAGGCGTTTTACTATTGTGGATCGAACGCCCTGCTAACCCTCCACCCGAACCAGCATTCTGGAGCACTCTGGGACACCAGCTACCTCAGGACATCACAACACCACTACAGCCTGCCAGGAGGATTCCCTTCAATAGCTACATACCAGCAAACTGCAAGTACTCTGCACCTAACCCTGCAGTCCTCTAGCATTGTGTCCTCATTGGCTATATGCCTTATGCTGAAGTACTCCTCTAGCGTTGTGAACCTCATTTATTGAAGTACTTTAAGCTGTGCCAAGCTGTGCATTATCTCCGTGCAATGGCGTAACAATCACCATAGCGACCCAAGCGGCCGCTATGGGGCCCGGGGCACAGTGGGGCCTGACCAGATGCCGTGCTGGCCGCCTGGGTGGCTATGGGATCCTCTGCTGGTGGCTTTCACTGTGAAGAGGAACACGTCGCTGTTCAGATCACTGACAGTAATCTGTGCAGCAGCACGTTCCTCTCCACAGAGTCAATGAGATCCAGCAGCGGCTGTGGAGGAGGCGGGGCCCGTGGTTGGCCGCAGGGGAGGAGGCGGGGCCCAGGTGACGAAGAAGGAGGCGGGGCCCATGAGCGACCATGGACGAAGAGGAGGCGAGGAGAGAGAGAGAGAGGAGAGGGAGAGAGAGAGAGAGGGGAGAGAGAGAGAGAGGAGAGGGAGAGAGAGGAGAGGGGGAGAACAGAGGGAGAGTGCAACAGGGATAGAGAGAAGGGAGCGTAGTGAGTGAAAGAGAGGGAAAGAAAGAGAGAGAAGCCACATTACATGGAGGTGAGGTTCCAGCTTATATGTAGATGACCTCCTATTATTGTCACCCACAGCCACAGAGAGAGGCCTACAAGACAGCCTGGAAGTCTTGGGAGAAATACAATGGCACATGGACACTACCTATCAACCCTAAGAAAATAAAAATCGCGGTATGCAAAATAAAAAGAACACAAAACAAATCACGAGCGATTCCTTAAACATCTGCACTCCTGATGAATCTAACAGCCTCACATACCTCAGCCTTAGCAACCAGGAAGTTTCAAGCCAGCCATAGAGGCCCCTGAAAAACAAAGCATGTAGAACCTTCCATGCCATCAGGAGACAAATGCACCACCTAATACCAACAGTAATCTTTGGCAGTGTCATCATCCCAAACCACCTTTATATAAGTGAGGTATCGGGCCCGGGTCACCTACTCAAACCCATCCGAATATTCCATCTAGAGTTCTGCAAGCTTCTCCTCCAAGTCCATAGGAGCACCTCCAACAAAGCCTGGCTGAGCTGGGCAGATCCCCTGCAATAAGAGGATGGGATCATACTGGGACCACTTACAACACAGCAGCCCCACCATAAATCCTTATTGACCAACAAAGACCGGGGTAAACTGCGTCCTGCAACAACTCATCAAACACCTTGTCCATCCAGAACATGAAACAATGCAGCCCAACAAAATCTCATATGAAGGACACATCCAAAGTAATCTTTTTTTTTTGAGAATGGAGAAATAAAACAAATCCCAGAAATAAACTAAACCAACCACTACCAAGAGGCTGCAAGACCATACAGACCCTGAACCTGTACAGACTGGGCAGCCCTGTGAAAATTGAATCAGG